GACACAATGGCATTATTGTTACTTAGGGTTAAAAGCTTTTGTTGCTAGGGTGGCGATGTCTATGTCAATAAGCACAACAGCGAGCGTGTATAAATGTAAACCATTGAACAACGTACCCTCTGTCTGACTCCTTTCCCCAAGGATATGGCTTAAGCATGCAGTTTTTGGTGTTGAAAAAGCGCCAGTTTAGATTCTGTATAGCAACATTACAGCTTAAAACAAAAATAACCATGATCTAACTAAATTCAAAATTCAAACCTCTACAACTAATGGTTGTAAAGTTACTTGGAACACACCACCACAGCACCACGTATTGTTCTGTAGATCACTCCTAGAGTTGGATGTCTGGAATAGCGCATCGTCTCTGGAACGCTGTCTTGTCTTAGGATCGCCCTCAAGAAAGATTAACACTAATAACTGCCACTGTTTATGTGTGGGTAATTTAGAAACAGAAATGATTTTGCCCCCCAAAATCTTTGTGGGTTCACAATCATGCCCTTCAAAGATGATTGAAAAATCAAAACACAGAATCATTTTTGCCACTACAGCATGATTCATTGCCGTGAGGTCCCGAACAATATCAGATCTGGACCTTCACAACAGGATCATGTCGGGTACGTGACGCCCATTTTCCACTAAAGGTCGGAATGTTTGATATAGTTCGGACACGGAATTGTCGTATTGCCTGCCAGTTTTTACCATACCACCATGGTGATTACACCATATACGTACATATAGAAAAACCGCTTCAAATTGACATAAAGTTAAAAAAAAGAATTAGTTGTTTGTCATTGGCATTTTATAGTTCTTTTACGTCAGGTTGCCCGTTAATAACCCTACAAGAAAAATGATTTCTGAATTGGGCCATCGACTCACTGAGCAGTTGTAGATTGTGTACTGGTTACCTGATTTTAATGCGTAGGAAATGGACCTGCGCTGACGACTGCAGAACATACTTATTTAGCGTCTTTCTGTATGTGTGTTTTTGGGTGCGCTGCGTACACGATGCGTTCATACGTGTGCGTTGCTTTCGGTCGTCAATTTCACTCCAGGAGCGATTTTGACGGATACGCAACGCTGGGGCAGGTGTTGACGCGCATACGGAAAGGCGCCTTAACTCTGATGTACTAAAGCCCTGTGGTGCCATCATATATATATTTCCAAAGTGAGTTATTAATTTTATTTATTTATTTCATTTCAACGAGAAATATTTTTCAAAGTTCCCCTGTACGGGATATAACAGATCCTTCTTCGAGATCTGTTTTTGGAAGCAGTGTAATGTGGCGCCCAGGCCCCGCGCCATACTTTTCGAACATTGTATTGAGATACTCAAGATGACACGACAGAGGTAGAAGGGGGTTAGTTTAGCGTCTTGTTATTGTATCCAACGTAACGTGCTCAAGTCTGATTTGAGTACAAGAAACATGGCGTGAGAGTGAACTATACCACTGTTGGCTCAAACTACACTGGGAGCTTTTGCTCTGGCAGCAAACTACCTTAAACAGGAATACGTATCGCAGGCAGCCCTTGTCGTCAGTATAAGCCTAGGAACCCCAGGCCTGACTAAGAGAGGGCGCAATTTTCCTAGCAACGGAGATTCATCTGGTCAGAGATGCGCTTGAAATTGAAACTATGAATTGTTCGCGTCGATCTCGCATCGCTACAAGCAAAACAAAGTCCCGACTAACATGATTCTTTTCAACTGCTGATGGAATGGATGCAGGATTTTTTTTGTACTGGGTATAGTACTTATTATTTGGGGGGGGGTGCGCTACATTTTGTAGTTGTCGCCGTTGTGGAAGTCACCCGCAATATCTTTGTTTGTCCTCAACCGCGGACACAAAATGAAACCCTACGTGGTTTATGCTTTAGGAGGTCTTCCAACCTTTAGATGGCCTCTAAAATAAAAATAAATAAATAAATGGATTAAAAAAGAAAGGGCAATGGGGGACTGACACTCAACTCCCTGGATCCGCACCATTGGGAAGGGATACATGCACTGATGGAGGTCTGAACAAACGAATCATATCACAACTTTCTCCAGGTTTGTGATCAAAGCCTGTCCCTGACCAAGGCCGGCATAACTGAGCATAATAACAAGCTGACTCAGAACGTTTTCTACATACCCAGGATTGTGATGGGTTGGGTTGTAAGAGCTGGAGCTAGTACCCAGACCACATGGTTACCCGCCTGGAACCACTCCCAGTCTCCTCAATTTGTGTAGGCCTACATACCACAATATTAACAACTGTGTGTGTATCACGTTTTACTTTACTGCCCTCTGCCGTATTAAAGCGATCATGGGGTCAACATAACCGGAAATTCATCAAGAAGCATGCGAATCCGTTAGCTTGTCGCCCAGCGTCCACAAGGACGCTGGGAAGGGCCAACCGTATTGAGCTCTCATTTTGGCCAACTTTTTACGACCTGTGACCACGAGGTCATTACTTCCTTTGGAAACATTATTAGGTAATTCATTTGATCATTAAATTTTGCTAATGTTTACAGAAATAAGCTGCGGGTTAGGATGATATCATCACATTTGAGCCGCTTGCGCTTCTGTGCTTACAGCTCGCATATGTTTTACACGTCTAAAAGTGTAACCCCGTGTGACTTTTTCCTTCACAAAAAATTGTGAAACGGATTAGCCCTTTACAGCGCCTTGAGTGGGCGTTGGGTGACGAGCGGCATACGAACGACAGCAAAATGGATGATGGTGCGGATAAAGCAGACTCTGGAAACCGCCTAGGCCGCCCGTTGCTTGCCGTAAAATACTTTTATTACCAAATCATGCCCTATTAAAACGGGGAAATTGTGTATTTGGGGGATTTATCTCGCCAAACTGCCAGTCTGTCATCAACCCAACAGGGTCTACCACAGAGAGAATCAATAGAGGGGTTGCATGGAGCGCCCTCACAGAGGACATGTTTGTTATTTTAGATTTATGTGACGATGAAGCAGTATAGGGTCTACTCAGGCATATCACACAGGAACAAAAACCTGTGCTCTGTATGCAGCCCCTATATTTTTATTTTTTTTCTTATTATTTTGGAAGTTATTTTGAAGAGGATGCCATAAGAAATATTTTGATACCAAGTTGGATTCCATCGGACTCTGCAAAGCAAAGAAGAATCGATTTAACGTGGGGTGCTTTTGTTTGAATGTACACGTGTACTGCAGAGGAAACTGTGAAATATTTTGTACACAAAAAATGGGTGTGGTTTTTAACTAAAAAGGTCAAAATTTAGGTTTTTGTAAGATCTTTGTCCTTATTTGTGCCTTATTTCAATGAATCAAAATGTTGGCTTCACTTCAAATTTCAAAAAAATCATAAGAATCATAAATGTCTTCCGAGCTCGAGGCACGGCCGAGAAACCCTCAGTAAGGCGTGCTTTCGGCACCGTAAACTCACAATTTGTTTCACGAAACGAGTGGACGGCTTCATGAGTCACTTTTCAATACTCAGAAACCGACTCTTACACCTTACATCGTCTTTCTCCGTGTTGATAATTTGCTGGATAAATTTCCTGGTCCATCATCAAAAGTTAATTGTCCAGCCTTCAGCAACAGCCTGACTACGGTGCCTATTCCATAAAAGTTTGTTGACATGACTACATATGTAAAATTAATCGCTCTTCACATTGTAAATAAGGGGTCTGGATGTATTGTGTGCTGCAATGTCAGGGGTGTAGGCCTAAATCCCAGGGGATTGGCCATGACTCTCCACAACAAACGCAAATCAAAGCATAGCCAATTGAGCCAAATATGAAGTCTAATATCGTAGCTTCAAAGTGTCCTAAAACTACGGACGGACTTTCATCAGTCTAAATGTATAAAATGAAGATCAAAAACACTACTTTTGAAAATGCAATGCTGAAATGCCTCAAAGCATTTTAAGGATACTTAGTGCCCTAATCTCCAAAATAGTATGAAGTGCACATGTGCCATGCGCACCGAGCCGGAAGTGTTGACCCGTGTTCAGATGTTGATATAGACTCCATCCAATGAGTTCTTGACAAAAAATACGTTATGTATTTGCCCTTCCCAGCGCCCTACAATGTATGGTGGTTTGTGACGAGTGAACGCACAAAGTGTGTGTGTTTTCGTTCTTTTCAGGGCCCCCCTCGCCGCGTTTATGTAAAATTATTTGTTTGAGTATAAATGAAAAGGCATCGTAATCCCTTCAACAGGCAGTCTACCAGGGAGTCAAAGTCGTCTATCTCACTTCCGGATATGGAAATTTATACCCCAAAAGAGATTTCTTTTGTTTTCTTTTGTCTTGGAAATCAAGCTTATAGTTGAATCAATTAAGCTTTGTATAAAGCAATCTGAAACCCAATTTTACTGCATTCCACCCTGATTATACATAAGAGCGGCGAACACGCGCTAAATAGGATATATGAAACTTCTGAAGTACTTGAAGCGGCAGGATTTCAATTTCACGCCGCGGCAACTCGCCTTGGTAAGATACTTATCCAAAACAAATTTCAACTGGCCCTTATACGCTTCCGTAGAAAAATCTACTTTCCACTCAACAGAAAATGTGTCTGTTTCGCTTGTCCGTGTACTTGCCGCATGTTAGCTGACGTTTGAATGGTTTCTTTTCCAAATCTGTAATTCTATAGGTTGAATCTTAAAATCGCAGCTGCATTCCAGCAGCTATTGTGTTAGAATGGACATCTGAAAGGTTTTGCTTTATATAATGGTAAATTCAGGCCTTGAAGCTGACAAACCTTCCATATCAGTCCTTCATCATGCTATGTCTGTCAAGGCTTAACTTCGAACGATTACTGTTCTGTGGCACTTGTCTAAAAATACTTAGCTGTGACGTAGTTGCTATGCGTGGGCCTGCCTAGCCTGTAGTTGCAGGCGGTGTGTTTTTGACCTGTTATGTTAGTCATCCCACTCATACAAGAATGCAAAGAAAAGTCACAAAGGAAAGTCCGTCATGCATGCAAAATAAAGGGCGTATGGAGCCAACTCTACACAATAGCAGCCTTACCTTGAACGCTTTTGTGAAAAACACGTTTGGTCGACATGGAATAGCTTTGCGGATCATGCATACGTACACACGCCGTGTACATAGTATTGCATTTAGTGTATAACTTGCGAAGCACGGAGATATTTACCTTCTTGCCAAAGTTGCGACTGAGTTTCACCTATTTTACTTGGCGGCAAAAGGCTTCCAGTCTTTGTGATCAACATGTGAGTCTGGTTACGGCTGCATTATGGGATGTTTGCACTCGATAGTTTCTGGAAGCTGGATTGTATATTTTGTAGTTTTACTGTGTTCCATCTCATCGGGTAAGTTGGTTAATTATGCCATTAACCCTGCCGGTTATAAAGAAACAACTTTCCTCTTTAATACACAACTGCACAGAGAAAGTAACAAGCCTAAAATCAACAATATGTGTTGATGACATTCATCATACCGTTTTAAATGTCAGACTTTCTGCCATGTCATTATTATCATTAATAGTGGAGGATAATTGTATTCTGCGGAGCTGGAGAGAGTCCAAAGTATATGCAGAGGGATACGACAAATAATTCTTCTTACATAGATCGATTCGGTTATAAATTTACTAGTTTTATCTGTAGGATGACTTTTCCCTTATTCAAGTAAAGATGGTGGAAAAGAATTTCATATACCAGACACCATTTTTCACCTTGTGCATGGCCTCATTTACGAAAGCGTATAAGTTCCCTTTGCAAAATTCGATTTACTACCCCGCCGCGAGCCCGCGACGGGATCTTGTTGCGGCGTCAAATTGATATCCCGCCGCAGCGAATATTTCAAGAGTTAAGTCTTATTCTAGAGTCTTAAGAATAAGTCTTATTCAGCGCGCCGTTTTCAGCTGTATCTTTAGAGTGAAATACAGTGAGATTTCGTTTTAGATTGGTAACTGGTGCAAAAGGGGATGTTGCATTTCAACAAAGTTTGTTTTTTCCGACACGCACACAAAAAGAAACTTATTTTGTGGTGAATTTCCACATTTAGATGAGAAGTAGACTGTTTTAATGCCTTCCAATATTTTCCAAGTGACAAATAGAAGCCAGCAGACTTTCAAATTAAGATCAAAACAGTTAAACAATGTTAATGTAGGCTCCATCCAATAAGTTCTCGACAAGAATGTTACGTATTTGCCCTTCCCAGCACCCTGCAGTGTATGGATGGTTTGTGACGAGTGAACGCGTTGATCTGATATCAAATAGACTGAGGATTTCAATCCAGTTCATGAAAAAGTGTGTGTTTGTTTCCCTTTCACCATTTTTCTTTTTGCCTGTGGAAATCTACTAAATCAAAGCAGATTTAAGTGTAAGATTGACAGCAACATCGAGGTTTGGTATAAAATGGTAAGACACACACATACACAAAATATGCACAGGCGTCGCCAGAATTTTTTTCTGCGGGGGGGGGCAAGCCGTCTAGTTAAAACAATAACATTTTACTGTGGGAGGTCGATTTTCTTTTTTTCCCTCTATTTCTTTGGTTGCTTTCTTTTCTTTTTCAGGGCACCCCCTCGCGGTGCTTATGTAAATAGGATTATTTAAAGTATAAATGAAAAAGGCACAGTAATCCTTTCAACAGGCGGTCTACCAGGGAGCCAAAGTAGTCTACCCCATTTCCGGATATGAAAAGTCATACCCCTAAAAGAGATTTCTTTTGTTTTCTTTTGTGTTAGAAATCAAGCTTGGTTGAATCAGGCTTTGTATAAAGCAATCTGAAACCCAATTTCACTGGATCCCACCCTGGTTATAAATCTGAGTACGACGACACGCTAAATAAGATTTATGATACTAATGAAGTACAGTGTACATGAAGCGGCGGGATTTCAATTTCACGCCGCGGCAAGATCTTAAACTTGCCACGGCGAGATACACATTCAACGATTTAACTCGCCGCAGTGATATAATAACTTGCCTGGGCGGCGCGGTGAGATGGTAATTCGAAAAAATTTTTGCAAGTGGCCCTTATACGCTTCTGTACCTATATTAGACTGGTCTGAAAAAGTCCAAGTTTTGGAAAGTGATATTTTCAAAGTTACATATGACTGTTTAAATCCTATGTCATGTAGATCACGACAGCGAAAAAAAAATTAGCATAGGCCTATACGGTATTCTGAATACTTAAACTTTGAAGTGTAAGTGCTCGAAGCTTTAAATCACCCAACATGGAGTTTCAAACTAGGGACAGGGTTTTCGTGTTCAGAGTGTGAATGTTATTTGATGAGAATGTGTATAGACCCTAAACTCTGCGGTCGAAATTAAGTTGAGATTTTCTCTGACCAAGCTTTGTCATAGCCAACACTGTCTTTCTCAGCAAAGAAATCTTGCCATGGCGTGCCAGCAAAGTGAAGGCGAAGGTACAATGTACATGTACCTCTCAAATATTGTGTTGCTTGTTGCTTAAGAAAAATACGAGATAAGACGCTGATCAACAATCAGTTTGTTTGAGTAAACACCTGTCTGATAGGTTAATGTATGTTTTAAAAAATGGACCCCCAAGTCTTTCACTTTCACACAAAATAGTTCAGCTTTTTATAAATACGGAAAGGTTAGAATCTATTCTTCCGAATCAATTTTAAATAAACGTTTTTCACTGTGGGAAAAAGATCTGAAACGATCAATATAGAGGGAATTTACGTGTACGTCGACTTTACTCAGCTGAAATTTGTAGAGAATTTCGTCAGGTTTCATCAGGTTTCCGTCAAATGTTCGTCAGATTTCCGAACTTTCATAAATAGAGGTCCTTGCCAAATTGCAACAAATAATTGCTCAATCACCTTGGACACCTGTAATGACACATTTTTAAATCGAAATATGGTGTTCAAGAGACCGAATTCAGGTGGCTTCATTCTTTTAGCCCCCAACAAGCCCAGGATTAAGCTAACATCATTGTTAAGTGATGAAATCGTTGAGACATATGCATGTAGATTGAAAGTCATTCTAAATTATGGTCAAAATATTTTGGGGAAACCACCTGCAGTGGAAACTCGACTAAAATCTTAGGTTATTTGTCTGGATAAATTTTACTCTATTTTGAGTGCTGATTCACTGAGAGGGGGTAGCCTAAAAACAAAACCAAACAAATAAAAAAATGCTTAGGGTAAATTTTAGAAATATAATTACCTCCATAATAAACTTGAAGGATTATTTTAGTCCTAAAGAAATATTACAAAACTGCATTAAAAGCCAGGCTTGGGTTATTTTCACTTACTCTTTATTCTGCTATCTTTGTTTTCCCCTTTCTTGCATGTTTTCAACACAACGGTATCTTCAAGCAGAAGCCCAGTAAGTTACAAAGAACATAATGTTTTTACAGGAAAATTACATTTATGTGTGTAGGTAAACTCCGTAAAAGTGATTTCATATTAATTTCCGAAACGAAAATGTTATACGTTTAAGGGATGACACAGCAGGGGATGAGGGAAGTGGAAGACATAACACTATTACATGCGTTTACCTGTACATTCTTTTTTTTCTGTAAATGTTTGGATACCTATTGAAATTAAAATGAACCTGTCTGTATATGAGTGCAGTTAAGAATATGCAAGTGAAATGAATGGTCAAAGATCGTCGACAAGTGAGATTCTCAACGTCCCAGTAATCTTTGTGTGTCAGTTTCATTACTGTAGTCATTTTCAAAAGCAATTTGGTACATTTTGTCCTGATAGGGAGATAACGCACTTTTTATCCTAGCAAGGACTGTAAATAGCTTATACGTTGGCCTATATGTCTTGCACAGAACAGATATAAACCAACATACCTCAATTTGTATACATGTATAGGCCTATATATCGATGTAATGCGCACCCCTTCAATTGTGTAGTCTACACTCCAGAAGTTTCAACTCAAATTATCAGCTTCCATCATGTACTTTAATGAAATTAAATATATCGTCCTTGTTCAAAACCTATGGTCGATTCATTTTGCCGATAAAAGCAATATTCTTATAAGAATCTTAGTGGGGTGGCTTTCCCTTTCCGAACACTCTCCCTTAAGAAGTGAGGGTTTTCCTTTCATTTCAGAACGGACGTCGGGTTCCAGTTTAGGAACAATTTTACCGCGATCTCTAACGATGTTGACAACTTTAAAAGGTACGCGCTTTCATTAACTGATATTGATTATTTAACTTCAAGTTTCATTGATTGTTTCACTTCAAGTTTTACTGATTGATTCACTACAAGTTTTATTGATTGATTCACTTCAAGTTTTATTGTACTAACAAGATACGTTTTTTAACAGATTGAAATAAAAATCGTCGTTTTATAACCCATAAAATATGTCATCCGTAACATGAAAGCACAAAACAAAGGAACATTCGCATAGATGGTGCCAAAAAGGCCTTAGAATAAATTCGAAGGGAAGGCCCTTTTGAAATTCATTTTTATCTTTTTATCGCAAACTGATCCAGGGCCTCCAAAAGCCACAAGGTTTTTGGCAGATTTGACAGAATTAAGAAAGGATGTACCCAACTTCTGCCCTGCTATATGATGTAGGATTTAAAGTCACCCAAATGTCAGTACAGTACCGGTACCTAGCATTGGAAGAAAGCACAAGGGTGCGGTGAACGTTTAGGGTTTCAAGAAATTTCAAACCGAACAGTGAGGGTAATTCAAATAATGAAAAAAAGTTACATGTGCGTGCGTCTTTATGCTTAGGCCCTATACGCTTAAAAACAGGACAGAAAACTCAATACTAGTGAATTTTGGTAAGAACAAAGTCTTCATTATCTCTCGTTCAGTAAACTGCTTGTTACTCTAAAACTGCATGGAAAAAAATTGTCCAACTTAAGTGGCTCACAATGAGAAAGTTAACTCCTACATAAAGATTGGTAAAATTTGGAGGGGTTAAATGGAAAGCAAGTAGTTTAGGGGCTTTAAAATAAGCTGTAATCCTTTTTAAGAGTAATTTGGAAAGGGACTTCATGGTTTTTAGTCTACACGCAAGCAGGTCTATGTATATGTGCATTGCCACACAATGTGCGCAGTCTGCAAGACTTCCTATATTTTTGTTGCTTCCACACTGTGGTTGACCATGTAGAAGTAAAGGCATTCAGTTAGTGAAACACATAGTTTGGTTGAACGCCTTCATGTACCTTTGTACACATGTAGGTGCACTGTGGCCTTCACCTGCTTGAATTTCCAGTCGCAAATATTTTGCTTGGATGGTCACATTTTTTGGTCAATCACAAACCAAATATTTGGGGACAACAAATTCTCATTTAAATATTGTTTTGAAATGGCAAAAATGTCTGCAGTTGTGAACAGTTCTTCCGTGCACGCTGAATTTGACTTGCATGTTCAATGTGAAAAAAAAATCGTATAGTTTTGTGTATTTTTTGTATGTTACATGTACAACATGATATTACTTTTGTCCTCTGGGTTTAAAGAAACTAACAGCTCACCTTCCAACATTTTCAAACGATAAATTTATAAAATCATACAACATGCCGTACACTTTTTAAGAAGTTGTGATAACATTTCTTTTTACTCCTTGTCATTCTGCAGTAAACTGTTTACTGATGTTATTGATCTCTTCAACTTCAACAATACTGAAGTGAAATCCAGAACGGTTAGTATTTCTAAAAGCTAACAATATATATTTTTGTTTAATTCCTAAAAAGATGAATATCACAAATTTCCCTTAAAATATATCAGCCTGTTAAAAAAATATCCGAAACGCACTTTATCTCATTTTACGTCGAAAGCCAACACGATTATGATCGTAGTTCCAGTGTGTGACCCTTTTCAATGTCAATCTGAAAAGAGTACATGTAGGCCTTACAAGACCCAATATGTCCACGCATAGAGGAAGGACACGGAAGGAGTTTGAACTGCCTGGGCTATAACATCTGGTCAATTATACTCTGATTAACGAATGAACAAACTTCCAGACAAATTATTTTCCTTTTTCTTGCCACAGCTTCTATTATTTATTATTTTGCCAGATACCGAATCTGTTTTGGGCAAGCTGGTATCAGTCATATGGGCTGGTAGGCCCCAAAACGTACATCAAACAAACAAAGGGCTCCCAGGTCCGATGTACATGTATTGTCATTCGGCTTACAGACCAATCATATAATAATCATGAAATAATAGAATAATCCATCCAACATTTTAGGGTCAGCGCTGGTTGTGCTATGGAACATGCAGCAACCCCACCCCCTTGGGTACATAAGAGGTGTGGCTGACCCCTTACAAATTACAGTGTAACATGGAAAACATCAATGTCAACAATAATTTCATTGGTACCCTGTACCTTAGCAGTAAAAATACATGTCACATCTTAGGAAGTGGCTATCTTCGAATCCTGTTAAAAACGCCTCTAAAAACAAATATCCTTTAAAAGGCAGGTGCTGGGGGTGGTGGTGGGCAAATTGACCCAGCATGCCCAACAAGCTGTGACAGAATGATCCTCACATGAGAATTTCCCTTCTAAACTAGCACTGCCTGATAGAAGTAGTCTGACCCCTTGCCTGATTGGCTAGAACAATGGACTGTGATTGGCTACCAGTTAGTGCAGAGTAACTCTGATTGGCCCGCTTTATGAATAATTAGTTATAGAATCCTCTCCAGAATCCACCTTTTGTGAAGCCTTCAATTTTCAAGCTGCCATAACTGCAAGAAAAGGGGGAAGATTGAATGCAAACTGGTTCAGATTTGTGGGGGTCTGTGGCAGCTTTCTGGGACCATGAATATAACCACACAAGGCAGTGCAGATTTTACAGCATTCTTCTAACTATGAGAAAAGAGTTGGGCCGAGTGCAAAACGTATAACATCCACCAGGAAGTGTGACAGCTATCTAGGGCAGTGCATGTGAGCCTATGTGCCTATATCTAATACATTAAGATTCTTCAATCCATGCAAAGCAACAGATCTGTGTTCGACCAAGTTTAAAGGGCTCTGTCAACCATGGAGCTATCAAACACAAGGAGTTAGAACGAAGTCCTACAGACCGTAATCTGATTAACCACTCCGGTCGGCTCCATAGACAAGGCGCGGTTACCAGCCCCAGTTTTGAAGACCCTAGACGTTCTTTGTACACAATGATTGCCACCACCAGGTAGTTTGTAACCCCAAGACTCGCCGTGTTTCGGTGTGGCATACTGGAGTAAATAAATGGTATTGCTATTGCTTGATTTACGCCGCATGCCCTGAATATACATTTGCAGTTATTGCCCTAAATGAATGCTATATTCTGGTATGCTTACAAGAGTTTGTGTTTTATTTGGATCATTTCTAATACGCCATTTATACAAAAGTGTGTTTTAGTAGATCTCATGCATGATCACTCCTTATGATGAAATTTTTTCTCATGAACTCAGCTTTCAATAGTGGTCAACATTTTCTTGGCCAGCCTTTGTCAAATTCGTACCAAGTCTATGAAAACTGGTATATTGGAGGGGGACGAATAAAACTACAAATTTTGGATGGATAATGGAACAATACATGTACATAAAAATAAAAGCGTTTATTAGCAATGGCACCGATCATCGAGTACTTTGAAATGTCAGAGTTGCAACTCCCGTGTCCTTCCTGTATGATCCACGGAAAATCGAGCAAGAGTATGAAAGCCTCAAGTTTACTTTGGAAAATGTGACAAATCACGATATAGGCCCATGGTATCCTTTATCTTGAACCGTACGACAGAAGCGGGGAAGAACTTCAGATCCTAAATCCGCTCCATTCTCCTTAAGAGGAAGGTGATGGAATACAGTTTCCTGAGCTTTTGTAATTAAGCTACGCATTTTCTCTCAATTTGTCTCAAATTTCCCAACATTTCCAGATCTTCTTTTGATTTAGAATTTAATACATCTGTACAACTTGCCAATATTAATGAGTCGAAAATATGTCCAAATTTTTTTCTGGAAAGCAGACTTTTCAAAAAAATTTTTTATTAAAATTCCATTCACTCCCCAGTCCGAAGAAACTTCAACTCAAAGACACCAAAGACTCGTGTTTTCATATACTGACGACGGATAGAGACAGACGCTGTTTTCAATTACTGTTGATTCTGTTAGTACACATGTACATGTATACGTGTTGACATTGTTTCCTAGGTAACTAAAGGTGCAGATGGGAGGATTGAAGTTAACTTTACTCTCAACATCGACACAACACTAAAGGAAAAGCTACAGGCCAGGAGTAGGCTGGAGAAGAGTGTAAGTCATGGATGTCGTGGTTTGGGGATACATATGTACAGCATTATTTCCAAATTGAAATTATTATTTGTAGAAGAATGATACATAAGAAATAAAAAACTCAGAAAATTAAAAGCCACTAAAATAATCCATTACTGGTGAAATGTATTCAAGTCCCCTGAATCCGTATGAGCTAATGGCTTGGTTTGGTGCGCGATTCATCCATATAACGTACACTTCTTTTTTTTCCACATAGCTGATACAAGTAATTGTGTGAAGGAACATGTCCGTGTGTTCCAAAGAAATCCTTCATAACTAAGATCTACCGCTGTAAACGGATTGAGAGATAAAGTGTGTTAAAGAGTCGAAAAGTGGGTGAATGGAACAAATTATCAGTCGAACATTTATCATCAATAGATTGGGAAAGTTTACCATTATGAAATTCCCTATGAAAACAGTCACACTGTTACCCCAAGTAATATTAAAAGTCAAAACTTAATAATAAAATTCTGAGGCAGTATTAAGCAGTATCATTCTTGCTCATACTGGGACACATAATCATTCTTGACACCAACTCACCACCTGATTGGGTGTACCGTAATGTGTAGCCATCCGCTGGTACTCGCCGGCTGGATTTTATTCTATTTTACCGTGTAGGCCTACATCTAAATTGAGAAACTATTTTAATATTGTAATTTGACTTCTTTTAATATAGCTTCGGATGGAAGACTATGAGTGCGTCTTTAACAACACAATTTTCACTGTGGACGGTTCAACGGTGTGGATGGCAACCAGCTTCCGAGATAACTGGCACCAGTACGCTCCAGAAATCACTATTGCAATTATCTGTGGCCTGGCGGCGCTGGCAATATTTGTCTCGTCTATTTACCTTCTTGTAAGTGAATTTGCCAGTGAGTCTTAATTAAACTTCGCAGAATGCTAAATGAATTGTGCCATGGCAGAAAATAAGTACATCTAAGTCTGCAGAATACACTTTGAAATTATGCTGTTGTCGTCATTTATTTTAATCAGTGTATGAACCGAAAACATGAAAAGATCGAGAAACACACCCCGCGGAGATCACTTCCCCAATCCTACAGCGCCAATTCCCTTGGACAAATCAACGGGGGCTTCGTGTTGGAAGACATCAACGGCGGACAAAGAGTAAGAATTTTGGATCTAAAAAGACATCATAGAGGCATGTGCTCATGTTCCTTTCTGGTGGGTTTCCATGGATATTTCGTGCAATTTCAAAATGTCACTATTTGTTCATAAATCTCTAAGATGGCAGTTGTCTTTGTAAAGATTTCTTAATACTCGACATAGAAATATGGATTAGTTGACTAAGATTTGCCTCTGCAGTTTAGGTGATACCATAAGGCACTCCGACGATAGACTTGCTTAATACTTTTTGAGTTTCTTCTCAGTGTGAACAGCGCGTTGTCCTTGCCGCGTGACCAAGAGCAGTGTTTTGGTTTGGCCAAACGTTTTCGCATAGTTTCCATTATTCTCGTTAGTGCAGGCAAATTGTCATTTTTGAAGTAGGCCTATAATCCTGTAGTGCGTGTAGGCATACTTGATGGCTAACCAATACATTCGAAGCCAACTGAAGCAACACCCTCAAATTTCTTGGGAGAGAGACCAAATGAGAATCGTGACAAGGATTCGAGCCAACCTACAGAAGTGACTCCATTAATGTATTAAAGAGAGACTTTTCGTTTTATTTCAGGTACACACGCCGAAGTCAAGCATTGGCTCGACGCGGTTCTTCAACGATCGAGACACGCTATACGACAAGCTCATTTATGCATACTACGAAGTCCCGCCAAAACACATGTACAGTTTTCTGTAGGACAGCTGAACTATACAACTCATATAAAAATAATTGTCTGATCGTGCTTTGGACATTCTTTTCTGTCGAAAACGTCTAAATTGTTTGTTACTGATTGCTTGATTTTTATTCATATTAAGCCTATGGCAAATATCCGACAAATATGCTTTGTTTTCCATGAATGTATATGTACACATTTTCTTCTTTTTTGGTCTAAGGTAATGAACTAACACTATGGGAACAGACTGCAATGAATAAAAGTGACGATGAAAAATATTTTTATTTTAGGCATTCACAAATACAAATATAACATGCTTTCAGGGTCGATAGTTGATGTTACCATACCTTACAAATATCAGTGTCTGATAGCTGAAATCTCATTGGTCTGTTCTTGCGTGTTAGCTGTTTTTTTCTGTCTACCAGGCGCGCACGCGCTAGTTGTGTTCTTAGTTTGATTTTCTTTAGCACTACGAAATCAGTAGGCCCAAGAAGCTATTAAAACTATACTTTGTCAAGTGTCGATTAAGCTTACCATATCAAAAATGTATGATTTCACTGACGTTGAACGATGCTCTGCACACTACAGTTATTAATCCAAGTTACTATCTCTTGAGCCTAGTGTCCATATGGTCGCAACGAGCGCCGACAGCACGCAAGATGTCAAGACGCTCGTAGTCGCTGGAAAGACGTACACTCACCCACACTCACACCCCCGTAGAACAAAATGGCGTCCGAAACTCGAAATCTTTTTTTCCTGTTTAGGTAGTGACACTGCAGTTTGAGGTATTTTGTTTATGGTCCGCTAATTGTTGATGGTTGGGTCGTCATATGTTAGTAATAAGGAAACATCTGTGGGAAAATGAATTTTATTCTCGGCAAATGAGTCATTGTACGCTTGTCATGCCAGCATACGTGTTTGTATAGACCTACTCTGGCGAGTTAATGCAGACAGTCGGCAAAGTTGAACCAAGTTCACCTTTTCCCCTATCTGTGTCACCACTTTCATTCGATTGCATATCGTCAAACACTGATCGATGATGCCTCTGCGTCTTTTTACGTGGATACGGAAACCAGCTTTCTTTACTTTATCTGATCAAAATGGCAATAATGTCAGTATAGTTTATATATAGTGAAAAAATAGTACATGTAATTATTTAAAATGTGCAAAAATAATAAATGCCTATTTTTCATCTGCCTCTAATGTTGATTTAAAGAGCCATCTCTTCCTTTTTATGAATTTTTGAGTCCTTTTTTCATGTCATGATCCTATTTTGTACCAAACATAATCGTAGTTCAGCCGAGGTCTTTTATCCTCATGTAATGAAAAAAAATGTTGGGTTAGGCCAAAGAAAAAGACTCCGGTTTCTGGTCATGGGCTTTATCCAAAAGTGGTGCGGTCACGCGGGTTTTTCCCCCTCCTCTTTTTTCCTTAGAAGTGATGTACGTGCACATGATTCAGGGCGCATGGCCTTGTTACTTAATGTTGTGAATTAACATTAATTAGCATTAATTAAAAGACCATAAAATCTGACGAGAGGCAATGGATCATTCATCTCATTCAAACAAGACGCTTCTATTCTTGGCAAGACTGAGCTTGTTAAAATACAGTAGCACAACCATGGAAAAATCATATGTGAAAAACAAATGTTCAGCTCCAGTTTCCAGTTTTAAATAAAATCCTCATGAGGTAGCAGTACATGACATTCTTTGCACACTGTTTTTTGCTTTAGCTGAGAGGAAACAAGTTGCACGTCAAATAGTCAATGAAAAAAAATTAAAAACAGTTCAGCTCAAGAGTCAAAATGAAAATAAAATCTCATGATATACTGTGCGCATTGTTTTCTGTTTTAGCTTATAAAAAACAAGCAGCATTTAACACACTGGGGAAAAAATTCAGCCTGGAAAGTATAATCTCCTGTCACTCTAATGTACCTTTGTTCTTGTCAAGTGACAATGCATGAGTTGTTACACATATTGTCATAACACGATGTCCATCGCCACTGCCGTTGCGTATGTTACCGCCACTGCTTCGCCGACACTGAAATAAACTGGCCCCTCACAGTTGTTGCTCAAACGCGTTTTCGATTTGTATACTTACATAGGACATAAGACCACTTCGTTTGTCAGGTTCACAGACGTATATACGTGGGCCCGGGTCCGAAAGAATTGGTTACGGCCGCAAATTACACCCAGTATTGGGCAGCATCCACGGCTAGTTCCCTAATCATGCATGATATCAAGCCGCAGCCAACTGATTCGGCAGGGCCTTTGTGTAATGACACACGAATGACGTCATCTGATAAGAGTGCCCGACTGAAATGTGTGGAGGCCTAGGACGGGGATCCCTTAACCGTACAAATTACTCATCATAGTTATATATAAATTACTCATCATTCCACCCATCAAAAAAAAACCTTAAAATTGCACAGTAGCAGAATTCCTTCCGATCGTTTATGCAAAATAAAAAAAATTCTTTATTTTGCCGACGCGCAGATCTACGGCGACGCGCGCGGTGACCAGAAACCGGAGTTTTTTGGTTTTTTTTTTTGGTTTGGCCTTACACTTGATAGATTGCCACGGATGTGTCCTCTCTGGCACAAACCTAACGGAGTCGGAATAGAGTCTTCATGAGTCAATATCAAACCTGATATTTCAAAGCAAAAAAAAACAAACACACAAAACAAGAAAAGCGAACACAAGAAGAAAACAAAGCAAATACAAAATACGTGTATTAAGATTCTGAAAACAGGGCTGACGTAAGTTTTTTTGGGGGGGTCAGTGATTGTGCTAAGGAAAATATAAGCATGTAGGTGTATTCACACATTCACAGCGCGAGATCTCAAACTATTTGAGGACATCCTTCAAATCGAAAAGGGCGAAGGGTCGAGTTCGATTGTAAGTGATTAATTCCAGCGACCTTCTGCAGTGAGTTCCCTATTTCGATATTTTCGTCCGCTTCTGCTGAACTTTATAAACGGGGTACGTGTACTTTACGTGTCATGTATGCCACAACGTGCAGATTTTTGATATTACGTTGGGGTTGGTTTGAAATGGATAAGGCGAAGGTTTTGCCTGAGAAACATGGCCACTGGAGACATGTCTACCTGAACCCAAGGAAAACCCCAGAATGGTGAGAATAAAATGTTGTACTTATCACACTCTGTGGCAAAGCCAAGGGCTAAGCAGAGGGCTAGTACCTGCGCAGTAGCCAATAGGACAAAAACCACCACACACACCCTGATTAACCTGCAAATGAATCTGCTCCGCGTTCGCTTCGATTGCACCCTTTCCCTGCCCGTGCGCTGCTCAATTTGGGTAGAACTGGTGGCGCTGTCACTTTGCACTGATAACATGGACGTTTGGGTTGTGATTGAGGGCAAACTCTTCCTATTTCTTTCAATGTTATCTTCTCGGCAGTAACTGGGCTTAACTAAGTCCACATGACTAAGTGAGCGTGATTTCACCAGTAACTGTCGACTTGTACAAAACGAAGACCCTCGTGTAGTTACGCGATTTTCTGCGACCTCGCTGCTAGGTGAAGTGACATCCTGGCTTTGCTTTTCATCGAAATCGACGAAGCCAGAGGCGGGTGATGGTTTCTCCTTCAAGAGTAATGAGACCGTTGACGTAGGCTGCGTTTGTTTGTCTTCATACCTCTCTTTAGAATTCATTTCTACCCAAACATCAGGTGTTCTTTGGACGGTTTCATCTCTTTTTGCATGCTCAACTTTCTTTGGGGGGTCATGTTTTCGACCAGTGTCCATCGAAGGTACTGTGACCTCAGTAAGCCGTGGAGTAAGCCTTGACAGGGGCCTTTCTTTGGCCTTTCTTTCTTGGGCCTCTTCATGCAGAGACCCTTTTCTAATCAGCTCATAGGATGTCTGATCCCTGCCTCTAGGTGCCATTTGACCAATCCTGGAAAGACTGCTGTTGGTGGCCGCTTTGGTAGGCACGGCCGCGGAATCTGATCGGAGTGCCCTGCACACCTCATCAGCAAACTGGACCCTCTTTAAGGGGCGATTTCTGTTGATATTTGGTGACACACTGAAGCTGGCGTGCACAGGAGGACACGTTATGCTTGCTGGTTGTAAGTTTCCCCTGACTGCTATCATTGTATTGGTGGAAATTTCGGCGACAGATTGTTTACAGACAGCCACCTTCACTTGCTGTGAGGTGGATATCATCGCCTGATCAGTATCACGATGCTCTTCCTTCTTCTCTTGACGGCTACAAGATAACTGGGGCGTTTTAGCTTTGGTGTTGTGAAAAAATTCCCCTTGCTCTGCCAAAAGAAGGCCCGTCGTTATCGGATCTTCGATCTCGACCGAAACATCATTATTTATATCATTTAGCGTCCCACGCCTTTGCACTTGTTGCATTTCACGTGGCTTTCCCATTGCCTGAGACCATTCATCCCCTGCCTTGACTTGACTTGCAGGTGGATGATCTACATCTCTATCTTCTTGTTGAAACTTCAGCTGTTTGGAAAAGTGAACTTTCGTGCCTTCGGAAGTGCCCCACGAGAAATGATACGCCGCGGTGTTTGGAGAGGTTTGGTTCGCTATACACCTCTGCATTTCTTCACGTTGTTGTGACCAGGCTGCTAGTGGCAGGTCCCTTTCTCTAGGGGGTTCCTCTACTCTTTTCCTCTCAGCATATGGTGCTTGGCGTCCAGTGACATTACTCCCAAGGTCCTCAGAGTCTACAGATACATGCACACCGCTGACGCCTTGGAGCTGCTTTTGTTTTTCGACTAATCCTTCTGTTGCTTTGTTGTAATGGCCAACAGACGGATCACTCAAATTGCTCATCTTTTTTTCATCACAATTAAGAACAGTTTGCGTTTCCTGGGGTTTCTCTCTGCTTTCCTGCTTCAGACCGTCTGGAATATCCGGTACTGTCGGAGAAGGATATCTCTCGAAATTCCTTCCCAGACGTTCGTCTGACGTCGAGGAGGAATTTAGTTTCACTTGCTGCGTGGCTTTGTGGCGTAGACGTTGTACCTGGCTCCGCATCAGTTTCTTGTATCCCTGCAATGGCTGGATGAAAGAGAAAAATAAGAAGGGTGTTTAAAAGTTTGCTGAAACTGGTTGAGTGAGCATGATTTTGATATGTACAGAATCAAGTATCTCTTACTAGCGATCTTGTTGGGAATGCTGGCATTTTAATTCTACAAAGTCATACTTATTATTTCATCTATACTTCGACAGAAAAAAACTGGGTGCAATGATTAAATACGTGGGTGTGAATTTTTATTACAGACGAGCACTTGAGGCATCGATTCCATTTTCATAGATGCAGGTTTATTTTAAGAAAAACCCTCAAACTACACATGTCACATGAACCGGCGTCGGGGTCAAATTTTTGACACCAATAAACTAGGTTAGTGCAAGTATCATGAAAGATTAGAAAGAGAGATTTAGGCATTCCTGTTTTTCCATGATCGAATTGATCGCATTCTTGTTGGTACTACAAGGGGCATTGTTAGTGTTCAACCCCAGATCCATTCTCTGTACGTAAGTCAGAGTGCAGTGATAAACGCCATATTGCTTTGACCTAACCGTTAAGGTTACATGTATATCGTGTGCATTTTTCGAAGAATTACTAACAGATGAAATTGTTGTTCCCTGTTGAAAGTACGAAGATAAATGGTCTTACCTTTTTCTTGCAATTTGCTGAGTTACTTTGTCCATCCATTGTTGTCCATCAAAGAGGCTTTTTTGGCCCACTGACCAGCAGGTCTACATTAGCCTTACATTTTCAACACTGCTGCTTTATTTTTGTTCGAGAGCACGCAGTATGTATCCACGCGCAGAGCAAAGGGACAACGAGCGCGACGCAGTGTATTGTGATTATTCTAGCTCTGTGTGACGTCACAGTGGATCATGTCCGTTACCAGGCACATTATGCTTCCGGGACATAAAGGTATCGCTAGAAAGAGTGGTAACTCGATGTGTAAAGTGAAGCCTGCTGGTTGCATACACGTTTGTCTACAAGTCTGTGGAAATTCAGAGAAAACATTGATTTCTATTTGAAAATTGGATAGGACACGGTGTCCTTTATCTTGTGTTAGCACGAATTTCATCAGTGAGGGTTTGAACGTTTTGAAACGTGACGCGTTCGTCACACTAGAACGGCACGCTATCGTGGTATGCCGCTCGTCACTAAATTAGTCCGGCAGAGGAATGTCTTGTCCATTTTTTTAGATCATTTTTTGTGGCAATTATTGAAAATGGTTCTAACGTGTGCATCCATTGGATACCCATAGTCTGACCTCTGCCACTTTGCGGCTTGAATTGCCTTTCATTTGTAAGTTTATTTGTTTGTTAAAAAGTCATAATTATTACATAATACGACACTGAATTTTGTTAAAATTAGTTTTTACCAGCAACTCAACAGATGAGAATAAATCTTGAAAACTGTCCTTTCACAGTTTTCAAATACTGACACTTCACACTGCTTTTCTTAATTTACTTCTGTGCAAATTATTTGCAAATCAAATTATATCCGCCCATGTGGGACCAATAAATGGCGCAATTCTTTTGGAAACCAAGGCTCCTTTGATGGTCATGAAACGCATGTGTTATTTGCAAATGATATTCGCCAATAGGTTCATAATTAATTTCCTCAACTTATTCCATTAACGTTTTAAACTTTTATGTGAGCTACTCGGATTGCACATATAGTCAGGAAATTCATTCAATTGAATTATTGTAAAATATTTATCCGGAAAGTAATTTAATTGATACAGTTCCGAAGTTTTCACATATATTAAAGTATCAGTTACGTGAATGAAGATTTCCCGTATATTAAAGGGTGCATTCTATGTCACCAAATGCTTGTGTTTCTGCGCAATAAGACAGGCCATAATCAGGAGGCATCATAGAAATATCTCTATAAATCTTGAATTTGGGACTGATAGTTTCCAGTTCGGGGTATTTCTTTCACCAAAAGCCCCAAACTGCGGGCCTATTTTGGACAGAGGCGGGCGGGTACATTAGGAAATGAGCGCTCAGTTTTACTGCTGTTTTGGGGGCATCTTTCTTGAAAGACGAATAAAAAAAGATTTTTGTGGCTAACCCCCATGAAATTGAAATGGAAAGTGATCGTCTAGCCATAATCTTGAATTTCCAGTAAAAAAACGGAGGCCAACCTCTTCACGAGAGTCAACAGGCGGCGCTATTTCGGTCCGATTTTGCACTGTTTTCTATGGGCGCGTTTTTGGTGTAGTGCAACCTTTAAAGACTATATGTAGGACACACATATGCTTACGTACAGTGAGGGCTTGGAAAACGTGGACATCTGGGTACAGAGTACCGAAGTGACTATATAACATGCCCAATCTTGTGTGTAAAAGGCATGTGTGTCAGAACCAGCGCGTGAACCAACGCGCGCGCGTATTTCATTCGTTTGTACGGAATTTACTGGTTCTGAATGACGTCACACTTCGGTACTCTATCCGGTTCATAAGTGTGACGTCATTTCAGTTTAAACCAAGCCCACTGCACACGTGCACTGCTCATCGATCCATCTTACTTGGATGATCTAAGCAGAATAATGATGACCTTCGGGACTGAGGCCTCTGAGCGTCAAGCCGTCGAGCAGCACGCAAATGGGGCAGGCCAACAAGGTCTCGTGCCCCTAGTACATGTACCGACTCCTGCGACTACAGCGACCTCGGAGCAGCAGCCTTCAGTGGAGATGGCGGCACTTGCTGAGGGGTCACATTAAGCAGTTGGGCCCGCTCCTGGGGAGATGGCAGCTCATCATGCGTCTCTCGGTTTTGATCAGGAGATCCCTGCTATCGGGGAGGAGGTGCTGAGCCTTTCCCCCACTGCTTCGATGAAGTTGTTCCTGGAAGACACGCAGACCAAACCGCACCTGGCGACTCAAAGTACCAGGCAAGCTCAACCGGCCCATCAGCCCCGGCTGCACCACCATCACTGCATGGGAGCAAACCCCTAGCTCTGTTGAGGGACCAGCAGGCGCAACAGCCATCGTCGTCATCGTCCTCAAAAGATGAAAGCCCGGTAGAAGACGGTGCTGCAGTTGATCCAACAGCTCCAAGACGGATATAACCTGCGGCAGCCAAGACGGTCAAGAAGAGCTTCCTTCAGCTAGCCTTGGAAGAAAGAGTCGCCAAGGTGACGGAGACCGTCACTGAGGTCTACCGGACAGGAAGCCTGAAGAGCGTGCAACGTGTATGAGTGTACGTCATCCAGAAGTGATCATGCGGTAGCCCTCCACCAAACGGACACTGAACATTCGTTTGTTTATTTCAAGTAAATCTGTTTGGAATACGTCAAGCGTGGGTTAAATTTCTCTTATCCTAAGCAATTCTTAATCATCCACGGTTGAGTTCCTTGCCAATGAACTTAGGACACTTTTTTTCGGTGTTTGTTTCCCACTTAAGTTTCAGCAGCACATGTAATGAGTTATTGAAATGTTGTTATTGTTATAGTAAACTAATTTCATACGATTATTTCGGCCAATTTTGAACAGGGACTGTTCAGGCCTCGAATGGGGCTGTGTAGCGAAAATCAGTTTACTTCCCGTATCTACCGACTTAATTAATTTACTTCCGTTGTTACTACGAAGAAACTGCAAGTGCGCATGCGAGCTCTACGCCATGTTGTTTGCTTTTATAATCTTCAAGCTGGGCTCCCCCGCTGTGCAGGCATTGCGGTGCAAGCAGTAAACGCACGTCGGTGCGTTTTTTAGCGATTAGTTGTTGGGCGCGTTTTATCTAGGTCTTGGGCGTGCGAGTATTTTTCGCCTATGCTTAGTGCACCTTAAGAAGTTCTTTGTAGCCAATTAGGTAGCGCGAAATTTAATTTGTTGCCAGGTACGCTGAACTTCAAGTCTTGATTTGTTATTATTGTTCAGACTCGGACTTGTCAGATTGCTGCCGCTGCCGCCAAAAAAATTGACTCTAGGATCAAGGAAAGAAAACCCATTCTCGGCTGTTTGACTAAAACTGCTATTAGCTCGGGGAATCGCCGCAGTTGTTCATTTCCGTTTGAGGTGCTTTCTAATCATTGTACAATGGGCTTTCCTCACAAATCTTAGTGGAGTGCGAGGTGCCTCCGCGAGGTCCTTCATCGAGGCGCCTCACCATCCAGTCCGCCTCCGGAGGTCTCCCTCCGATTGGCGGTGCCTCAAATACAGAGTGCCCTCAGGTGAAGAAGAAGCTTGATCACATTTAGTAAGTCATAGCCTCGACATTAATTCCGTCGCCTTCATTCATTGATTAGCATGGTATATGATAATTTTGTATATAGTCAATTGCTGTTGTATATAAAGGATAACTCAGCACTGACATTGAATAAACCGATCATATAATTGCCTTAGAAATCACTGGTCACCGTGAGATTCAGTCAGTCCTGTATCACTTGTATTGACACTAATTGTAATCTTTATCGACATTGGGATCAATTACCTAATCACCGAGCGGTGGTAAATTTCCACCAAACGAACAGCCCCTGAGGCATAGTCCACCGTTCGTTAACTGATATCAACCCTTGCGTTTGGATAGCCGCTCATTCTTACGTAAGGTTAAATAAATATATTTGTGGGGTTAGGCCAGGTCAATTCTATCTCCAATCAGGCCAGTCTGCTGGTCCGCCACAAAAAGGAGTCAGTTGTCCCGCCACAATACAAACGGGCTTCAATAATCTGGTGCTGACATACGTTTTGGGTCTTTAGTGTAATAGTTATAAGGATACAAATCCAGACTGGTTCCATAAAGATGAGATGATACAGACTACATATTTACGCAGCGGGTTCCAGAGGGAGTTTTTGATGCTACCAGAAAAATCTACCGCATGGCAGCGACGTGGATACTCACTGCTATGACGTCACCTGGTCGCGTATCATTTCTACTTCCCAGACGCAAGGTTGAATCGGCCAATGACGCGCTCCGATTTGCTCGTGAATATTTATGATGTGTAGTAAAATGTTCTATTATTCTACCATGTAACAAGCGCACGCGCTTACGAGATCACGGTACGCGTAGGCGCCCGCGAGGTTCCAGGTTGTTCGTGCGTTATGGGACAATTCACGCGGCCCGTGTCACCTTTAGTCCTACTTATAATCTCCATGGTTCGTACTAAAGGACTATCAATTTCCTTTAAAGAAAGCGCCCTCTTTTGTTCCCGCTTGGAGCGGATACCCCATGCCAAATGCGTTTGAGCATTGTGTACTTGAACATATTCTAAAATTTACGTTGGCAAATCATCAACGACATTGACGTCAACGGTAATACGTGGTTTTGACAACGTTTTGCTTTTGAAATTGCTCCAAATTTTATTGCTGTCTAACACGTAACAAAACGCAAACCTAGAATTTAAACATTAGCATATTATTGTAACTCTTACATGCAAGCTACGTCTTCAAGTGCATTAAAAGGATAATAGTATTCAGCAAGCTTATATAAACGTTTAATAGTGTATGTATTTTGGAAAAAACGTTTGTCGCACAAAATTAATTTCTTTCAAACAAGATAAAAAAACTAATAAACTCTATCCATAAAGTTCATAATCTGCCAAAAAAAAACGTCTTCCCTAAATACATTGTTGACGAATTGTTATATTGAAATACCAATACACTGACAGATCACTCGTTATGACGTGCATTTATGAACAACAAATTTCGAACGTGAATGGTGATTACAAGAGGTATAAGCTTTGTTGCTTTGGGCGGCAGCCGCGTCGATGGAGTACTCCGCGTGCTCCATATAGGGATCAGGACCAGTCTTTATTAAAAATCTTTCTCTGCATCCGCTATACCGTACAGTTTGTGCAACGCAAGGAGTCGGTGCAAACTAATTATTTGCTACATCTCAGCAGATCAGCCAGCTCGATCTCCAGTATGCGATCCTTGAAATGTTGTAAAGTCGGGGCACAATGTCTCAGGTAACAAATTCCAAGGAGGAAGTGTTTTGGAACCCAAGGACTTCGGAGAACAGTTCTCATTTGCAGATATGTACTTATAGTTGAATCTTTGTTGCACCCTCTGCCTGGTATTGCGGATGACATTCGGGGTCCTTGTTTCATTAAAGCCTAATTTTCCAAAATTATGTGCCTGATAAAAGTCGGGACAATTGTGAACAATTTTCTTCTTGAATATTTCCTCAAATTTCCCTAAAAGTCTACTCTCTGTACACCCCGGGTATCACAGGTCTGCCTTAGCCCATGAGCCTCCTGAAGCGACTACGTGTGTTTCGGTCAAACTGCGTCACACATTGGTACGTGAAGAACCAACATACAGACGCATTCAAGAAAATGTATAGGCCTATGCCAAATCTCTTTAAAATGGTGAAAACATGCAGTCCAACAATGACAGTGTTGTAGTAATACAATAGCTCCATTATTTCAAAGCATTGCTAATGCCTTGTCTTTCTAAATTTTATACCTTCTTAATAGCAAGTGTGATATAGCTTTTCATAATGTTACATCAATAGCAAGCTTCCTAAAATAAGAATATTAAACTATCCATGCATTTCCCACAACCTATGCTTACAGATATATGTACTAAATAACCAATAAATCAATTTTCTTAAGGTTACATATAATTTCCACTGTCTACAATATCATAGCATGCAGCTGCCATATATCAGCTGTCTGATCTTCGCAAAAACGACGACAAATTAAAGTTTACCATTTCATACAAGGAGCCATGTTGCTGCTAGTTTTTATTGATACATGCTTTTTTCTGTCAACAAAGGTGCTTGCATCATTCATTTATAGATACGTTTATTTGAACATGGAATTTATTTTTACATGGAATGTAGAGCTTGATGGGTTAATTTTATTTTAAGTATCATTCATGCTATACTACGTAGACAGGTAGTGTTTGTGCATGTTGATAGTGGATGGCAATCACCATGTATGTAAACATAGGTCACTTTGTCCTCCAGAAGTCAGTGTATTTAGGCCTTGTAATTCTTGTTGTCGTAACCACCATCGTAGTCACGGAATTCCAGATTCTCTGATTTCTGCTTCTGCTTTGGGAGAGAGAAAATGGGAAAACCTCTCAGGAAATGACTCGGATGCTATAGGCGTGTAAAGGGTAGAGGTTGATTACAAATAGGCCGAGAAGAAAAACTACATGTGAATTGATGCGAGATGACATGTAAGCTAATAAATCGATAAGTTCATTAACAAAAGGGCTATGCTGCACCCACCTTCGCTGCCTCTTTCTTGCTCTTGGACACGCACTGAAATAAAAGAAAATGCGGAGGAAACAATTGTCTTGATAACTGACCTCTAGCAACTGCACGTAAATGCAGTAATCTGATAACTGAAGTTCATAAAATTGTTTTCTGAAAACAAGTGTTCAGGGAACTGTTGTATAAATTTTTGAAAACTAAAATAATCCTCGCAGATTCGGTTAACTTATGGCAGAAATGAATTCTGAAACAAATTTTTAAATGAACTCTGAAATTTACCAACCCCGTTTCTTCTTATTTTCTATAGCGATTGTACAGCAAGAACTAACTGACTGACCGACATCCCAGTTCTCAACTTCAAATCTAATTGTCTTCAACTCACACATGTTTTCGTGTGAGTGCTTTTACCAGCTGTTTCCTATTCCAGGTCAATAGTTTTTAGGCCTTGGTCTGACCTCAAAAGCCATATTTGTCTGAGGGTACACTTACGTATATCAGGGAGACAAAGATTATGATGACCACTATGGCGAGAACGACACCAATAACAATGTACACAACCAGGTCGTTCCTTGGTGGTTTAGTGGTAGGGGGTGAAACTTCGTAAGGATTAGACTTGAAGGAATCGTGCGCTGCCTGGAGGTTCTCGCCGTCAAATTCAAAGCTGAATCCACCCGCAGCAACCTGAAATTCGGAGGGGAATAAAAGGCAGAGGAATAGAGTTAACTCACAGAAATATGGGGTTGTATGAACTGGAAATTATTTTCGAAACTTATATGTAAAACAAACTACCCATTTTTATTCCATGTTGTTTTCCCTTTGTGTATTAATTATTTGGAAACAAAACTCAAAATGATTTACTTCAGTTTCCATCATGTTGACCGCTTCATCAATATCAGTTACGCCATCGCTGGATACCTTGAATTCGACAATGACGCTTCCCTTTCGGAACTGTGGAAAATTAAACAAATCGAAAACTGGGTAATTAGCCTAGTTAAAATATGACGGACACAAAATGACAGTGTTATTTCAGGTGGGTAAATTTTGAGCAAGCACAAAACATCAAATAGCGCCCTCCTATTGTGCCCGCCTTTTCTAATAGGCTAATCTATAAAACCGATTACGTTTGGATGAAATGTAAGTAGCAAAGAATGGAGCACACAGAAACATGAGAAATTCGTCAATAGCTTTGCCAAAGTAGTGCAAAGTCAGGACGCCGACAGAAGCCAAACCAGGACGGGGAATAGATGTGAAATGGGGACCGCGAAAATTGATCATAACTGGGATGATGAAAATGTACCACTACAAAATTGAATACTGCGTTACAAAAAACAACTATGGTATCTTACTGGTATCGTCTTTACAGCTTGATTGTGTAATTGAACCTCAACGAGGGGAAATTCTACATGTATTTGATAAGGGACAAAATAACCCCGGCTACATGCCCGATATAAAGCAGTGCTTCAACACTGCTCTCTGAAAGCACTGGGATTTAGGATTAGATCAGAAGTGAGATTCAGTTTGAAATTTGGTATATTCCACGCTTGTCAACAATCTTGCCCCGGTCAAATAGATACAAAATTTCAAAAAAACGAATAAACAACTAACCTTGAAATCCCTCATGGCATTTGCTGAAAGCCCAAATTTCATCGCCAAGAAATGCTTCAGTTTGCTGAAAAAATATCGATATTTTGAAAGCATTTACAAATGAAAAACTACCTTGGTTGAAAGTATGTTCCTTTTTTCATTCGAAGCGGATAACAAAAATTTAAGCGAGGTTTAAGTGTCAAATGACCAATATTTTCTTAATTTAAAATACAGTTAAGATTAAAATTCAAGCATCAATCGTGCAACAAAAAAAATCGACGCCGTCTTGACCCTTTAAGTGTCATACTTTTGGTATAATGATAAACGGGTTTATAATTTAATATTCTTAACATTTTTATAATAAATTAAGCTTTGCAAATGTCATTGCCTTTAAAGTTTCAATAGAATTATAATGAATCTACTCAGATACATTAAAGCTTCAAGGTTTTGTCTGCCTATTCAAAATTAGCGTGATAACAGAGAATTTTGAGACTGAAATATTTCTATATAAGGTGCCTTCTCCGATTCGATAGACTTACCCAGTAAACCTCTCCCTGTTCTGCATGATGCGATCAAATGTCGCATTTAAAGTCAGCGAAACCTGGATCACCTTACTGCAGAGAACGCGAAAAAAAACATTATAGTTGTTTACACTTTTGGTTCCCACAAAATAGGTAAAATATCGTGTGCATGTCCCTACAACTACGGAACAGGTCTTTGAATGCAGGAAATAATCAAATGATATTACTTTGTCAGAGAATTTTAGCAAACTTACCACTGGGATTATTGCAGTGATTTTAATTTTACTCTTAAAATATATTCATTTTCAACCACAACTGTCATGTGATGATCAAAACACTGTTAAACTATCAAATGATGTGGCGTCAAAGGAAGTGGTTACTTACTCTTTAATTTGGCAGTCAGCCAAGATAACAGACATGAAACAGAAAGGAAATGATAACCAAATTATAAAAGGATTAACTTTAAACTGAATATAATGGGTGGCTTTTGTGTAATAAAAGTGTATATGCTAAGCAAATTAGTGGTGCACATTATTTTTATCTGATGTATAAACGCAGTGGCTTTACTGCCAGTTAAACGCTAAAGGGGCCGGCTTATTTTGGACCATCTCACAGCCGGGGGCAGATTTCCCTCCAGCTCTTATACGGTTAAGCATAAATTGAGTATAACTTACCACAACGCCTGTTGGAACATTTCCAAAGTTTCTGCTCAGTGCATACACTATCAGACAAAAAGAGCAAGTTTTAGCAGTAATTAACCACTTTTTTGGCGTTGTCATGTACAGACAGAAGTTACTCTGCCAGTTTCAAATTAAAACACACAAAAAAACTTTTTTTCAGTGACACCATTAACAATTTAAAGCCGGGTATGTTTGGAGGAAGTCGTGATAAGTTACCATTGATCACATCCATTCGAGGAATCGACGATTGCTCCGGTTTCATAAAGTTCATTATCATCGCCCAATCCATCACAATATGTGTTTCCTTTGAGAGACATAAAGCACAAAAACTCAACTTTAGAGCCACTCAAATCACTGGTGAAAAAACAACTTTGAAAAAATGAACAAAATTCCTAACCCAAGCAAATTAAATTATATTAAAACATCCCTCCGCCTCAACAAAGTTAAACAGTGAGAACAGCTGTGACCAGTTCCAAGATACCTCCCGGCATGTGTGAATTAGATTTCATGCGATGAGTTTTAAATGCCAAGAACGAAATGCTTAACCCTAACCCACCTCAATCCTTCACCTGTTGGAGGATTGAGGAGGGTTAGGGTTAAAGATTAATTACTAAGTTAACTTACAGTGCAATATGGTGTTGACAAGATACGGTTGGTTGGGGGACTGTGTGTACTATAAAAATCATTGGTGTAAATCCCAGGGGGTATCCCATTTTTGAGGTGGGATCTATTAAATCACCTTCCCTCACGGACACACACTTTTTGTGGTGGGGAAAAAGGATTCTGAAGTATCCCCCCCCATTTCCATCACAAAATTACGCTACTGATAAAAATAAACGTTATCAACCGACAGGCCTGTTAAGACAAGGTACCTGCACAGTTGACTTCCTCCATGCCCAGGAAAAACTTGGGTCGGCACTGTCCGCACTTGTCATGTATGCAGATGGCACTTGGCATTGAAGGGCAGGTAGCAAACTGACAGGGATTGAACTCACAGACTTCAGCCAGCTCACCATCCTCGCAAAGAACTGAATGATTTTGACACGAGTAATCATTATTACATACATGGAAATATTGAAACGCTGTTATCATTTTTATTGTGTTATCACGCTACGATCTTGTGTTTGCATTTAATTGCTTAACACTTAGCCGGTAATGTTTCTGATGTTGGTGGATCGAAGTAACACCATCAGAAATTTCATTATATCATCTGCAATGCCCTAAAATCTTGACTCACCGACAGGCTCCTGGCAAGTGTGTCCACAACCATTGCTGCAGCACTTTTTCCCTCCTGGACAGCTTCTATCTCCGTTACACATCTCTGTACAAATCCCAACAAAGTCTTGGCCGGGCATGGGACACATACCGGGCTTTTCATCTGGTGTATACAGGTAAAGTATCTCAAGATAACTTAACTTGTAATCACTTTTTAATGTGCATGCGTTCAACCCTTGCATGAAACAAAATACGATAATTGTTTGGACTTCTGGGAGGTTTGTTAAAGTTAAAATTGCATTTCTCATTGACACGCCAAAAATTAAAAAAATCGACTTACAAATAGGTTCCTGACAGGTGTGTCCACAACCATTACTGCAACACTTTTTCCATCCTGAACAGTTTCTGTCTTCACGGCACATCTCTACACAAATCCCGCTAACACCTGGCTCCATCATAGGGCACATGCCAGCTTTCTTATCTGTAAAAAAATTACATTGTGTGAATTCTATATATGAAAATGATTGGTGTTTTCACCTTATAAGGATTTATCGATTTGGGACATTGTTTCAGTCTAACATGCCGATGTGCTTGAGTGTACGACATTTGTGGTAGGCTGGTAACATTAAACAATTCCACAATGACATGTCTTCTTAGAAACAGCCAAAAATACCTGAGTTTTTTGCAAGGGCAAATTGCATCTTCAATTAAGCGAAAGACAAACAACAAGTATATTGGACTTACGAACTGGCTCAACACATGTGTGTCCACAACCATTGCTACAGCACATCTTATGAGCCGGACAGTCCTCGTCTCCGCTACACGCCTCCAGGCATATCCCAGTCACCCCCGGGTTAGGCATGGGGCACACGAGTTCAACTGTTAATACCATAACCAGTTTCGATGAGACAGGTGTTGCACTGATTGTTTTTCTTTTAACTTTTTTCTTGAGGGGGGCATACAAGCCCAATCCCTTTGCATTTTCTTTCCAGCCGAAAAGCCACTTTTCTCATTGATGAAGAATCAACTCTATGGTGCACTTCAAAAGAAAACATATTTGCAGTAATTGTTGAATAATTATCTTTCCCAGAATGTTTCTCAAACGAGCTGCACTCACCAGTTAACATAACTAAGCACAACCAAATATTAATATGAATCCCCCCAAAAAACCCACTGACCTACGTGCAAGTATTTACAGCTCTATATCAAAACTCAAGACATGTAATGGAGATGCACGAACACAGTTTTGAGTCATATTATAAGACAAATTTTTTAGCTTCATTTAAAACTGTAAGTGTACAACGTCCTAAAGAAGTCATCCAAAACCCTAAACAATGTGTATATATATTATAATACAATATCTCTTTCGTGAAGGTTCGCTAGACATGTCACAATGGAGATTGTAAGAAGTCTCTGAACATACACTCAACCGGTTCCTGACAGGTGTGTCCGCAACCATTGCTGCAGCACTTTTCCCTTCCTGGGCATCGTTTGTCTCCATCGCACATCTCCACACAAAGCCCAATAATGCCTACATCCGGCACGGGACACATACCAGGCTTTTCAACTGTCCAAAGAAAAAAAATCAAAATAAAACTTCAAGGTCCATCTGTAATAATTTATCTGCATTAATTTATGGAATGCATTGTCTAAAGTACTCGGCGATCAGATCTGTACCCAGGAAGAATATGACAGCTTTATTTGAAATCATTTGATGATGTACATGCATTCAATAAGAAAAAAAATAAAAAAGTACGATAATTGTTTGGACTTCATACAGGGGAAAGAAGCTTGAGGTCTGACACAACCCACTCTAAAATGGACGTTTAAGTGGCATTATTTCTCACAAAAACCAAGGAAAAATTAGTGAATTTGAACTTACGGACAGGTTCCTGACAGGTGTGTCCACAACCATTACTGCAACACTTTTTCCATCCTGAACAGTTTCTGTCTTCACGGCACATCTCTACACAAATCCCGCTAACACCTGGCTCCATCATAGGGCACATGCCTGGCTTTTCATCTGTTGTAAAGTGATAAATTTTGTGGGGTTTACGTAAGGACGTAATTGGAGTTGTCACTGACCATTTTCTTGTCATTTGTATGGTACTTTAAAAACATCTATTGATTTAAAGTACGATTGTGACAATTCTTCGGGTACTTCTCATGCCCATGTGCTTAAGTGTACTTTTGGGGTTGGTTGTTAACATTACAAATTCCTCAATTAGAGGACTTCTAAGAAACAGCGAGTGAATACCTGAGTTTTTACAAGGACATACAGCATTTTCCAACAAGCAAAAGACAAAAAGTAAGTACACTGGACTTACGGACTGGCTCAACACATGTGTGTCCACAACCATTGCTACAGCACATCTTATGAGCCGGACAGTCCTCGTCTCCGCTACACGCCTCTAGGCATATCCCAGTCACCCCCGGGGTAGGCATGGGGCACACGAGTTCAACTGTTAAGACCATAACCAGTATCGATGTGACAGGGTCGCAATCAATTTTTGTCTTAAACATTTTGGGGACGAACAAGTAGAGATAACTACCGATCAAAACACACTTTTCAAAAACCTTTCACTGCCTATTTTCATTTCTAAACAACACATATCTGAAATACAAAGTTTTCTGTAAGGCTGGCTGAAATAAACATGATCCGCGAAAGCACATTCTTAGCTTTATTGAAGATGCATGTGTACCAAGTTTCGACTTCTTAGGGGGAGATGGAGTCCCTTTCCGACTGCGAGATGCTCCGAAAAATAAGCTTTTTAAAATGTGCAGTCAAATCAAACCTTACGTTGAAAAATCCTTTAAAATTCGTGGGCTAAGTGCCAGTCACAATACCATGCCGTAAGAGCTATCTACCTTAGAATATCCGTAGCAATACTTCGAGTATACACTCACCATCAGCAGGTTCCTGACAAGTGTGTCCACAACCATTGCTACAACACTTCTTCCTTCCTGGACAGTACCCGTCACCATGGCACAACTCAACACAAATCCCAATCATGCCTGGCTCCGGTACAGGACACATGCCCGGCTTGTTATCTGTTGAAAATCGAGCGACACATCCAAATTCATATGGTCCGCGTTCAACTTTGCATCAAACAAAAATACTGGACTTTGACAGGAGAAAAACTGGAGATCTTCAGCAACCTACAACTTGACGACCAGTACAAAAAGCAATTGACAAAATGACTTACAGACAGGTTCCTGGCACGTGTGTCCACAACCATTGCTGCAGCACTTTTTGCTTCCGCTACAATTTCTATCTAAACTGCACATCTCCACACAAAGCCCACTGACGCCTGGCTGTGGCATGGGACACATACCGGGCTTGTCATCTATAAAACGGGGAAAAAATAATCATCGATCTCGATTCATTAAACTTGCATAAAACACACAAAATATTTCAGTGTTTCGGATTATTAACAGGAAAATCACTGAAGATCTACAACAGCCCACTCTACAAACGAATTCAACTTCTTTTATATTGAAGGCCAAGAGAAAATCAATTTGAACTTACGGACAGGTTCCTGACAGGTGTGTCCACAACCATTGCTACAGCATTTCTGCACGCCTGAACAGTTTCGATCTTCACTGCACATCTCCATACAAATTCCCGAAACGCCTTCCCGGACCATGGGACACATGCCCGGTTTTTTATCTATGACAAGGGACAATAAAAACAGATTAGTTGGAGCCATTGGATTACCGTTACGGTAGTATTCAACCTGAAATACTGCATCGAAAAAGTTCGATATTGAGCTTTACCGGTAAACAACCCCCCCTTGCTGATGGTGCATATTTGAACCAAAAGATAAATAAATAAATTCACAAAAATAACCCTTAGAGAGGTTAAATTGTAGACATACAGAAAGCAGGTTCCTGACAAGTGTGTCCACAACCGTTGCTGCAACACTTTTGGCTTCCAGTGCAGTTGACATCTCCACTACACAACTCCGAACAAATGCCAGCGGGTGCATCTGGATCCGGCATGGGACACATGCCTGGCTTCACAACTGTGGAAAGACACACCGTTGTCAATGTTTCATATTAAGGCGTGACCTTAGAAGCTCTAATAGTGTCTGCTGCATTCTGAGTTGATTACAGCATACATTTTGAAACGTTTTATTTGATTCATGTTAGCCAAACTTCATCAGGGTTGTAATTTTTATTTTGACCAGTACCCGTCATTCTTAAAACTCCGCCTTTTCAAAGAAGTGTAATTCCCAGTAGCCGAGGGGTGCAATCCCGCGCCTTTTACCAGGAAATTCCACCCGAGTCGGTTTAATATATACCAACAAGACTTGTTCATAATTAATATCCACCCGTCCGATTGCAAAGTGAGCAGAAAATGTTGTCATTGTTGATTGCACGAATAAATCTATACTTATTAAGTTGACTAGCGAATTTATCAGAGCCATTTTTTGAAGATGGGGTTTTAAACAGATTTGAAATGATTGATATTATAAATACTGATTAAATCTGTTTATTTCGTTTGTATATCTCTTCCTTAATTTCAGAAATAGAAGAAAATAAAAGGTTGGAGATGATCTATGAAAAAAATCATCTTTGAAATGTTAAAACTGTGAAAAGTTGAAAGGGAAATTTCAAAGAAGTGGGTCGTTAGTTTTTCTTGGCAGATACTTCGTAGGTTTCAAGACCCTTACTTTAACTGCACCTCAATGATCCACTGATATACCTGTCACAGGTTCCACACAAATCTGCCCACAGCCGTAAGCACAACACTTGCTGCGATGCCCGCTGCAGTCACTGTCGTTGCTACATGCATGCTGAGGAGACGCAAGTAGCATCATGTGGTCGGGCCGTGCAGGGCATTCACCTGGTTGCTCTGCTCACATTTTATTAAATAAAAAACAAAGGTGTAATTGTCGGCTTAATTGATTTATGAGTTATTTTTATTGTTTGTATTTAAAAATTAGCATTTTACCAAATGATTTTGCACTTCTGATGTAAGATTTTATCTTAGTTTTAAGTAAGTATGTAGAATTTAAAAATCAGAAATCTGTTTGAAGTTTCAAAAGATTTGTCATACAAGTAGGGTATCAGCAAAACAAAAATATCAGATAATACTTTTACATAATGATATTTTTAACATTTGACTTAGGAATCTACCAACATTGATAAGGAAAAGATGATACATGATAATGACGCTATTACAAGTAATAAATACATGTATTCATTGTGCAAAACTTCAAAAGGAATATTTCTTGAGCTTGCTTAGAGGTTCGGTACCTTTAGCACTTACAAATTTGTTTGAATTATTGGTGGGCTTTAATCTGCTCTTACCGCAAGATTGAACGACGGCAATTTGGACACATTGTAATGTGACAACCAGTTTTTAGTCATAGCATTGATGCATATTTGAACCTGTGGTCAAGTGGACAGTAAGTGGGTTCCTGGATGTTAATCGGGAAAGATTTTGAAAGTTGAGGGACGAACGCTACCTTCAGGGTCCACACAAGCGTGGCCACACCCATTGCTACAACACTTGGCTCTGCCTTCACAGTCATCATCACTCATGCAAGAATCAACGCATATACCAAAGGAATCCATCGGTGGCATTGGACACGTTCCTGGCTTCCTGCCTGCAGTGTGCAAATTCAGCAAGAACGAAGAAGTCATCAAATGAACTGTATGGCTACGATTTCGTGGGCAAACCTATCAAATATATCAGGAAGCACCGCAGAAGTTTCTTGTACTTCGAAATTTCTTAGTGCCCACTGCGGCATTAGGATTTTTCACGTGAGAATAGTTCAACAAAAAACACGTTGCGAGCATCAGAGGAAAAGGCCGTTTTGTCTTTAAGTTTTCATGAACGAAAAACGATAAGCAATAATCTTTCACGGCGTATAAATATAGGAATGACTATTAACTGTTCGGCAAATTATGACCCTTAAGCTAACAGTTCTTCGTGGAAATCGCTCTGAGGCAATGTCACTTGTGTAACAGGTAGGCTTCATCAAGAACATTTAAAAACTCAAACCATTGAGAACTTCAAGCTGATTTGTGTCATCCTTAGATCGTTCACACTCAAATAAGTTCGGAACCATGGTCGTTAGTTCCCTGCATTATAATTACACCCATCATCAATCTTTCTTTAATTAAAACATTTCAGCCTACCTGTGACTGGTCTCATGCATCTGGTACCACAACCATAACTGCAGCATTTGGTGCCAGGTTCTTCCATGTAGCAGTCCATGTCTGATGTACATTCCTCTTCACAATTATCTTCTCCTGCCTCTACGGAAACCATGGGGCACTGACCAGGCATCTCTGTGTTATAGTCAGTCAAACAATTTACTCAATTACCTTCTGCTTTTAATGAGCTTTAGCTATGTAGCGTATTTTCTTGAAGTCTTTGGAGAACTGGGAAGTAAACCCATCATTAAGTTCACCAATACTTGAATGCTAGTGAATGGAGGAGTGTATTTGATACAGTTCACAAAATTACTGCTATAATAAGTTTATAATACACGAGGTAAGGAACGTGTTTGTCCTTCCCTTCAAGCACCTATTTTTCACAATCCGTTTCCATTAACAGTGTAGTGCAAAACCCGCAAGACGGTATGGGCTATTTTAGGCAACAGAATTGGCCCATGTGACGTGATCAACATCGATATGTTTCCCCAGAAAACGTGGAAGTTCAGCTGTGCTGTCCACTCGACACAAGCAGGATTTCCCCCTCATTGGTTGCAATAGCCATTCGGTATTGTACCCAGAGATATAAGATAAGTGTACCTCTTGGAGCAGTGCAGACGTGTCCACAGCCGTTGTTGCAGCACTTCCAGTGTTGTGGGCAGCCAGCATCACCGTAGTGCGGATTACATTCATCCACACAGATTCCGACACTCCCCATGGTTGGTTGAGGACAAGTACCTGGCTTGTTCATTGTCTCTGTATTAATTAATAATATGACCGTGATTTTGAGATTATGTTAATTGTCTGCTGCTTTTAAAATACATGCACACTCAAGACATAAGCTGGTGGTTTCGGAACAAGTAGCACTGCATGGGCAGGATAAGGCCACAGGAGGCCCCCAGGTCCGACAAAAAGTAATGATACTGACCAAGGGTAAATGATTTCAAAGGAGGGGCAAATAGTACACGTTTCCTCCAGTCCTCATACTATTTTAGTGCAAGGACAGAAAAATAATTGGTATCCATCGGAAGTAACCCTCTCCCCCGAAAAGGTGGAGCTCAAAAAGGCCCAGGTCGGGACCAAGCAGGCATGTGCTTCAGTCCGCATACACTGCCAGCAAAATTAAGTCTTAGACACTTTAAGGCCTGAATATAATGTCTGACTCAATGGAATTATTAATTAGTAAAGGTACCCTGGAGCCATTAACTTTTTTGGCCGCCAATCTACCAATGCTAATATTATATACATTTGTGGTTGGGAAATCATGAGAATTTACGCAGCATCATTTCTTATTTAGAAAAATAGACTCATAGAGATTGAGGCATCAAAAAAAATCTCACGAGTTTATTTTAATTAAATCCATATTTATCCTTGTGTGTGGATTAGATTTACCTTCCATATCCATTTCGGGGTCTCGGCAAACTCTCCCACCGCATGCGTTCATGCAGCATTTCGCATTTCCCTCACAGTCAACATCGTCCATACACTCACTTAGGCATATCCCTAAGCTACTCTCCGAAGATTCAATTCGAGGGCACCGACCCTGTTTCACTGTTTGATAAAGAAATTAAAATAATTCAAACCAGGAAGAAGCCGTAAATACAATAAAAACTTAGTGCAGGAAAATTTGAGGCACTGTCGATGAATTTTTTGGATTCTTACATATTGCCGTTCAATTATTTGCTTAATCAAGGCTGACGGGTGTCTCAGCAGTAAAACATCAAAGTCGAATCTACAAATGAGGCACTGAATGCAGTAGTCAATGTGCGGCGTACACGCCAAAGTGCTTCATAACGTGTCCGATCTGGCACCATTTTCGAACACAGATTTATATTTTATAATGATAACGATTTCACAAAACATTTACTGTAAGTTTTTCATATTGTTTGATTGTATACGCTTGTCCTCCTCATGCGATTTAAGATCTCGATCAGTGAATATTCCTTAAGAACCGTCATGTTTAAAAAGGACAATTTTGATACATATTCTAAATGCTAACATACTTGTGAAAAATCTTATGGGATTTTTTGAATTTTTGGTTTGAGTAAGACTTCTCCACAATTTGGCAAACGACTTCCAAGGTAATCGTCTTTGATCCCCAGGCGTTACAAAAATTGTACTTAATAGGTTCGTTGTTAACTGAGATTCGTAGTTTGGAGTACCTTGACGTTTCAATAGTTACCTCTCTCGCACATCACAGGCCGTGCACGAGCATCGAAAAACTGATACGGGCACTCAATGGAGATAACATTTGGCCACAGACACTTCTTAGCAAGACACTGGGCTCGCGGGTGGGCGGGGCAAGTAGCCATCATGCATGCTTCAGGTGTATTTACTGGATTTTCAACCATGCCAGGCGGGCAGAACGACGCTGGATAAGAATCCAATGACAGCAAGAAGTTGAAAATTCATTTAAAAAAGTAATCGAAGTTGGTAATCGCTTCAAGTTTTCTCTGGATAATTGTCCTTTTACGTAGAGGCTGTCATCCTTTAGAGGTAGAAAGAAAAATAATTGAGGAAGATACGCCTGTTGGGCAGGAGTCACGTGGTTCGGCCGTATTTGTATTGTAATTGCCACTTTTATTACATTAATTTTTAAACACTATTCATAGAAGTATTTCCTCACCCATTGCTAGATATTTCAAAGTCAAAATTATTAAACACCAATGTGCTGACTCTATTTTCATTGGAGGTCCTACCGTAAACGTTAGGCCTACTGATAGATTTCTTCTTCCCCACTTGTTATTCTAAGCACCTGCTACTGTGTTACGCGTACCTTCACCACTCGTACAGTTAACATGATAGCCCTGGTCGTTGACGAAGACCGCCTTACACTTGCCACAGTACACGCTAACACACCGAGCCATTGGATCAGCAGGACATTGGGCGTTATCGCAAGGGTCGACCAAACAGTTCACCATTTCCACACCAGGAGGACAATTCAGTACTTCAGGATAAAAACCAAAACAAAACAAATACAAACAAATAAACCAAAAACTTATTTTTAAATGCATAAACTTGATACAGAGCGAGTTGTTCCGCTAAACACTGAAAACTGAATTAAGCAAACTCAATCCAATAACCTGCTACGGGTACATTTATCCACTGATTTCATATTTGATATGACTGAACTGATAAATTCCAATCAAAATCATCATTATTCACAACATTCGGTCAGTGATACCGTTAAAGTTCTTCGGTTGATTTCAATTACCTGTGGTGCAAGTAAATCCAGGCATATTTAAAATCAAGCATAATAACGACACCACTCCAAAAAGGAGGCTTTATTCCCCGCTCGTTCATTTAAAAACACAGAGACTCCACACAAATGGAAATAATTCACCCAATCACAACTTAGTGAGAAAGCATACAATTGTATGACAGCTTTGCGCCCTTATATACTCCTGAGAAAAATTCTCCATGCTGTATGTCCTCATCAGTTTGCAAATGATAATGAGTATTTCAATATTGAATAGTTTCAAGAATGAGACTTTGGTAGCTGCTCACCTTGTCCAGTGGTACAGTTTACATGGTTACCGAGAGAACCAATGTACACAGGTCTACATCCCCCACAATGATCCACCAAACAGCGGGCACTCGGTGCAGCAGAGCATAATGACGAGCAGACGTCTTCATAGGTGCAGTTCATGAAAGGTTGGTCGGCAGGGCATGGGTCTCTAGGCATCGGCAATTCTGTCCAACAGACGGTATTATGAGACTTTTTTTAATGACCATGATCTCATTTTTGGATATATATACTCCTGGGTTAAACGCGCAGTATTAAACTTTTTCTGCCGAAGACCATAAAATTAAAGAATTAGGCTACCGTGCATACTGTGGATTTTGCAATGTTTGTACTTCGAACACTAATAATTTTAAACTTAACCAAAACTTAAACCAAATCGAAGAAAGCAAAGAAGTCCCCACAGCTACCATTAGAAACAATGTATGTGGAACTATCGAATTACAAGCGATTTGAACAATGATGATGCAAATTTTACTTAGAAACAAGTTTAATACGATTTTGTTCTCCTCCAAAAATATGAGAATTATCTGACATACGTCGTATCTGTTTGGTTGCTCTCTTCCGTCAAGAGCATTGATACGTTTTGTTTAGATATTGCAAAGAGATTGGACCGAGAGATGTCAGCAGTAAACAAAGATAAATAGCAGTATACCATCACTGGACGTCTAGCATGAAAAGACAAGCTTAGGGAACGAAACAAAACATCAGAATTCTAGTAACACTCCAATCTGTTGGTCAAAGGTCATACCACTCGTGAAATTCTATTCCTCATAAAACCAGATAAGAGTATTGCTGCAATAACAGTTTAAATGTGTTTAT